GATAGATAGATAGATAGATAGATAGATAGATAGATAGATAGATAGATGATAGATAGATAAGCATCTACTGAGCATGTAAACTTCCCTATGTGTGTGGATGGGCGGACAGATAGTAGATGACACAAAACTAGACATAGTGGCTAAGTGTTAACAAGAATGGTGAGTTTAACATGAGTTTATCTAGCTTCCTAGAAGAATATATTATGCTCTTCAATATTATAACTCTTGCTTTCTTCAGTATTTCCTGCCATTTGAATAAAATGATAAAGCTGGGTCTCTCACCTGTCCATGGATACCACTCCATCCTGAGAGATCAAGAAAACAACGTAGCCTGTCCTAGCACTAATGATGAGACTTCAGAAAGCAAAACAAAACAAAAACATCCCCCCCCCCAATCAAATCAGGCTTTTGCAGAGAACACATCTCGCACTGTTCTTAAAGCAAAACAAATCATTTTGGCCTATGAGACCTTCATTTTTGCGTCCTTTTTCTCTGTTTTGAAAGCCTTTCTGGTACCTTAATAGAGACAACTATGCAGGGAGCTCATACCACCAAATATAGAGACAGCCACTAAAATGATAGGAGAGAAAAGCCTTGCCACCTGGACAGGAGCCCTGGGAAGTCGACAGTACCAAGCGCCCAGAAAGCTTGAGCAGGAAGAGGTCAGAGCAGACACTGCATGGGGTATCAGGTGCCCTGGACAGCCTGTGAACACTTACTGCAGGTGCTTTGAATCCCAGCTGTCGTGACTCTGGACCTGAAGGCGGTCAGAATGCCTCTTATTAAAACGATACCACAGACATTCAGGAAACCACAGAATGAGCAGTTTGACTAGGGTTGATGGATATTTAGCTTGTCTATTCTGTTTCCATGGCTTTATACCAGACAAAGCTCATTTTGCATAACTGAATGGCTCCAAGTTTACAGACGTTCATATCTTCATATTAAGCCATAGACTGTAGTAGCACTCTAACCAAAATATCTTATCGTAATTTGTTTTAAAAGATACCATCTCCATCTTCTTGCAGTTTTATCTGGACTAACCATAGTTTTTAGTCAGAATTTCCCTCACCAGACGTTTAATCAAGACACACGCACACTGCCCTTTTTCACTGGTGATGGTGACAGACTCTGGAGTCGGGCGCCGAGGTTACGTGCTCAGTCGCCCTGTTGATGAGCGGTGGGGATATTACTGCGGATGTAATTTCTCTCTTCCCTTGCTGTTTCACCGGAAGACGGTGTTTGTTACAGTGAGCACACAGCTGTGCGCTTATAGCTATAGTTTTATTTACAAAACGTGTATCACAATACATTGCCTTATCGTGCAGCTGCTTACTGGTTCTGTTCTGTTTTTATTACCGCTTTTGCTGTTTACACAGAACATAGATTAGCAAGGCATTCTTGAGTTCAGGAGTTTTCCTTTCTACACTCCCCCCCCCCATTAAAGAATGAACAATCCTGCCTCTCACCTATGAAACAAAACAAGTCAGAGGCTGATCACAGATCCCATCTGGGACTGATGGCGCCGCTGTGATGTGTCTGTAGGGAGAGCCTGTGTCGGGCCTCTGAAGCATCTACACAGAATCTTAATTCACGCTGGCTTCGCAGTAATCATGTGGAGTCCGTAGGTGAGGAGGGTGGCCCAACAGAGTCGCAACAGCTGCCTTAGCAACTTCTGCAGCAGGAGCAGGTTTCGTATTTTAAATAAACCAGACATCTTCGCATGCTCGGACCTCGGCGAGGGTGGGACTTAAAAGATGGGAGCCATCCTGAGCACAAGACAGCTAGACATCAGCTCCTGGCCACACCGTGCCTCCGACGACATGACACTTCTATTCAGCTGTCAAGTGAAGTTAGCAGAAGGCGCTTACTCTCTTCTCTCTCTTTTGCTCCGCAGGACCCGGGTCGGTGAGAGGAATCAACGGATCCATCAGTCTGGCCGTACCACTGTGGCTGCTGGCAGCATCCCTGCTCTGCCTTCTCAGCAAATGTTAATAGAATAAAAATTTAAAAATAATCACAACAACACACAAAAATGCGTCACACAGATACACAGAGAGAGAGTGCAAGATGGGGGGGAGGGAGACTTATTGTTTCACAAGATTGTGTGTTTATAAATGAAGGGGGAATAGGAAAATGAAGAAAATACAACACTAAAAACAAATGTAAGGTCCACCAATAAAAATTTGAGTATAATTTAGGGTGGGAAAACCTCTCCCAGAATATGTGTCTATCTTCTAAGCAAAGGACTGCTGTGTATGGACTCCATCGTGCTAAGGACATCTGATGCTGTTAAATGAGGCTACTCAAGAAATGCCAGACGCCAGACGGATGTTAACTGTCCCCCACACTTTATCCTCCCTTCATCCGTTTTCATCCGTGGGGAAAAAAGAAGGTCTTGCCTTTGGTGTTTATATTTCCATAACCTTTTTACTCTGTTCTCCATTTGAGCTGATGTGTAGCCATTTTGGGCTATCAAAGGAAACCTGTGCTGAGCCTTTCTCAGGCTCCGCTGCCTCCACCACCTCTCTAACTTTTAGGAACATGGAACATCCACTTTCCCTCCACCGTGCTCTATCCCCAACCACACCCATTCCAAATAGTCCCATTTCCTCTATCTCCACCTCTCTTTGCCCCAGCAGCTCAGAACACTAGTCATGCCGCAAATGCTAGGAAGTGCCATTTTTATTTTTGTTTCTCCACTGTGCGCGTGTGCTCAAGTCTCTCGCTCTCACGTAGGCGTACATGTGTGTGAGCGTGTATGTGTCTCTCTCTAAAGCATGCCAAGGGAATGGTCCATGTGTACATAGACTCATTGTGCTGTAGATACTGTCCTGCATTGTAATTGTGAGATGCGGCTGTAACAAGCGGCTGGGGGAGATGGCTGGGTGGGAGGGAAGCAAGGAGCAGAATGCCCCCTTCCCTTCCCTTCCACAATTCATGGCTGTCACATGATATCAGCGTGCATTCAAACCAAGCTGTGCTCCTTCTGAGGGCAGGACCCCATACCCCTCCTGGTCCCATTTTCAGAACCCACTTGGGAGTCACTCAGAATATCACTGTAAATGAAAGTGCCTACTATCAATGGGATGAGCAGATGGGGAAACAGATCTGTGGCCCAGATGACATGACCTAGGAGAGGAAGGTGGTTTCTGATTTCACTGTTATCTCACATGCCTGGAGAATTCACAGATTTCGTAGCTTTGCATGGGCTGAGCTCCACCGCAGAAATGAGCAGCACAGATTGAGCAGATCTCCAGAAACAAGTGGGTCTCTGGATGGTAACCCCCAAGGGAAGGAGGAGCCCACTGAGAGCCTAAGCAGGCCTGCATTGCCTCTTCACTAATCTCCAAAGCACATAGACTTTGCCCCATAATGCCCCTAATCAGAGATTATTGCTCCAATAAAATACTGTGAGTCAGACATGAAAAGTAGACAGATGCCCAAGTCTTCTGTAAAGGCTGCAAAGTATTGCCCACCCCAGGGACTGCAGGCTTTGTTCTCCTCTGTGGATTTTCATCCTTGAGTTCTAGGCTAATGCCTTGTTGGCCTCCCACTCCACTGAGGATGTGTGTGGCATGATGGCCCATGGAGGCCAGTCAGTCTCCTAAGCCAGGCCACTAGTGTGGCGACTGCTTTCAGCTTCTCTGTTCTCTTTAGACTTAACGCCTGTGAGATTCATCTCGACACTAACACTGAGACCTGAGCTAACTGCTTAACCATGAGGTCTGAGCAACTTGTGATGAGTAAAGGCAGAAGTTGTTTGAGCATCCCAAAGCTCTGTGTCATCACATCATCAAGTGTTCTCCCAGGGAGCTATTATAGGAAGGCTTCCTCTCTGTATATGGGAATCTTTGCTAGGAAACCAGCCAGTGCTTTCCATTAAGACTACAGAGGCACCCAAAGTGGTTCACTAGGAAAGAATGAAGGATTATTGTTGAGGTCATAAGATGATATTATCTCACAGATCCAAAGCTCATCAAATTTTCTAACCTTTGACATGGCTATCACATGATATGGAATGAAGGGAAACAAAGAAGAAAGGAAAGAAAGGAAAGAAGAAGGGAGGGAAGGGAGGGAGGGAGGAAAGAAGGAATGTGAGCAGTATTTTATATTTGTCTATGGTTTGTAGTTTTGACATGAAACAGAGGGCAGACAGGGCTCAGTATAGTAAAAGTATTTATGGAATATCAAGAGATAGGACAGTAATTCCTATCCAAGACTATAGCTAGTAAAACATAGGGAAGGTGTGCCATATTCTAATAGGATATATTGGCAGTCAAGGATTTCTCAAGCAGTCTAGTCCTCTTTGTACAAGAACTGAAAAATACATGTTTTCTATGTTAAAGAAGTGTCCACATCCTTAAGAAAAACCATAGAAGAGCGCATGCTGGTCTAGATGGAAGGAATAAAGAAAGAGGCATTAATTTAGCATCATTTATTATTAGTTTCAGAAATAGATAACTGTCACATATCATAGGCTTTAACCACGCACCTGGTCTTCAGGGCCCCCATCTTATCATGAGAACAAGCTCTGGGTTTTGTGGGAGGATCATCTCCTTTGGAAAGAACTCCTGGCCATGCCAATACCATCTTTAATATAATGGACCATAGAGCAAATAGCTAAAGGTCCTTTTAAAATTTCACGTTTCCCCATATCTCCACCAGGACCTGAGATTTTTAAGAATTTTTTTCCCTTGTAAAGAAAACCTGGCTCTCATATGCCATATGGGCTTGAGAATATTGCTAAGTCACATGAAGAACATGAGGACAACATTCTCTGAAGCAAGATTAGAATCACTGTAGGGCCAGAAGACCTACACCAAGATGTCATACATGGACAGAAAAGTTCATCACATTGCTATAAATCCCTCCTATGATCCCATTCTTTGGCAATCAAAGTACTGAATGCAAACAAGTTATTGGAAAAAAATAGGTAGTAAGGAGTGGAATGCATCCATTTATCTGGACCACTTTTGTATTCTTTGTATTCAAACTGAAGTTACGCCATTCATAAAACAAAATCATTAGCCTCAGCTTTTGGTTGTAAAGTAGAATATACCTTGGCCCAGGGCAGATCTCAAAGAAGGAGAGCTATCCTGGATTCTACAACTGCAGAATCATCTCTCTCTGTGCAGTTGTTGATGAAAACAACTTTGCCTAGTGGGAGGAACATTGTTCTTGGAAAATTTAAAAATCACTTTGTCCAAAAAGAATGACAGCTGATGGAAGAGTAGATGTGTTTTCTCCTTGGAAGTGTTTCCCCCTTAGGTCTTGACTTCTCTTCTAAGCCAGACAGATTTTTCCCCACTTACCATGAACATTTTTTTCCCTTTAACTTCATAGACAACTGGGGCTATTCAAAGAGACCTTGTAATAATACTCGTGATTTTCACGTTCTTGGAGGACAGAAACAAAAGCGTGTTTCTCTTCCAAAGATGGACTTTACCTCCTCTGCCTACAGAAACTAAACTCCTTAGCATGAAACTGCTTTTTAAGTTCTTACTTTTCAGCCCACAGTTACAGGGTCCTCTTGGAACTAACTATGATGTGACAACTTCTATTGGCTAGTCTTCCTAAATTTTTAATTCTGTTCTATACAGGCTGTGGATTCTTTGTGCAAAAAAAAAATGTGTGTATGTATTGTTTTAAATATTATCTTTACAAATGATATATTTACAATAATGTATGTATTATAAGGAAATTTTAGAGCAATTGTTTAAACTTAAAAGGAAGAGAGGTATTGAATTTGGTTTATTTAAAAAAAAAAAAAGAGAGCAATGCTTCATTTAGAAAGACATGGATCCCCTTTCGTCAAGTTTGCTTTTATTTGTTTCAAAGAAATTTGATTATAAGACCACGTGCTATAGGACTAACCATGTCTTCATGATTTTCTTTACTCTCACAAATTCTCAGCCTGGATTTAGTCTTAGTTCCCCTGAAAACTGCCAGTTTTGGTAACAATGTAAGTGCAGTGTTATATCTGACCTAGAAAGCTATTAAAATTCTGAAGACAGGTAAACATGCCATTTAAAAAAAAAAAGGTGAGATAGAGCCCAAGAAACACAAACCTACTTCAGAAGTCTCTTTCTTGCTTATGTATTTGAAATGTTTCCCCTCCGGAGACTTCGCCTACCTAAGTGATGTAAATCCCCCATTATGGCTGACATTGTATCTGTAAACATCTCACTAAATGCAAAATGAAGTTCCCATTTACGTGCATGCCAGTGGAAAGAAAAGTAAACTATTCTCGTTTACATTTAGCTGTGCTGTTCAAATGTCACCAACTAACCTCAAGAAAGAATTTGGTTTTGCCCACAATGTATATCGCTTTCCCTTGGCAAGGCAGCTGGTGTTAATATTAGGTTTAGGTTTAACATTCACACCAGTGAAATGTTTATGGATATTGTAGAAAACTTATTTTAAAACCCTGATTTCTCGTCAGCGCATTTGCATACTGTGCTGATTAATAAATTAGGCACCAATCATGCGTAAATCAATGTAAATCACTAGTTTATGTACATAATACAAACTATGTAAACTTCATTTTTCATGCAGAGCCCAAGTTCAGCCAAACCTATAAATCTTAAAGAAAAAGAAGTCAAAATAAGAAGAAGAAAAGCCAAAGCTTTTTACAGGTCAAAGGTCTAGAACAAAGACTGAAGTTCGGAGCATGGTTGCCTTAGCCAAAGGAAGCAGACACCCAGAACACTTAAGAGGCAGTTCCAGCCAAGGGCAAAAGGCTCTTCTCAGTTCCTTCTGCCTCAGTTGAAGATACTCTAGCCTGACACAACCACCCTTTGGCACACTGAAAGAAAGAGGACTAGCTAGCATGCCAAGGGCTCCTCTGTCCTAGGTTACTGATCTCTTGCCAGATAATGTGTATTTTCATTGTATATTTATTTAAATAGCTCCAACAGATTGACCAATACTTACAGGAACAAATTATCACACACTCTCTCTTTTTTTTTTTCTTTTTCTTTTTATGGTCTGCTTAACCACACTCAGAAAACTTCTTTGTCATCCTAATTTGAATAAATTGTGTGATGTAAGGCATACGTTATGTTCTTGAGAACTGTCTTGCTGAAGATCCCTGGTAGCTCTGTGTTATCTACATGCCTGTGCTTTATAAATAAGGTACAGCACCATTTGCATAGGGAGTGACTTCACAGGTGTTACCTCTTAGCCTTTCTGAAGTGCCTGCTAGTTAAAGATGGTGTCCTGTAAACCTTTAACTCTCACCAAAACGACTGGTAGAATCATCAAAAGAGATTATATGGATGTCCTACCCTACTACTCTAGAAAGAAATTGGGGTCACATTGAGGCTTACATTGGTCTACTGAGGACAAAAAGGACATCTGTAACATGAAAGCTGTATCAGGGTTGGAGTCCACAAAACTGGGTCTCAACACACAAAAAGCCCTGTGATGCTGACACAGGCAAGTTATTTCACACTCCCGAGTTTTTAATTTTCTCTTTCGGAAGGTCAGGAATTCAAGCAATACTTCACAGTCTCTTGCGTCTCTCACCCCTCTGATTTTGAATATGAACTGAAAATTCGTTAAGTGCCACCACCCCACACGTAAGAACCCAAGCAAAAGCCAGTTACTGGTCTCTGGTTTTCTCTCAATCCCCGCCATCTCCACAAGATAGCATCTTCTGGAACACAGGGGCTCTGGACTGATTCCATATTTCTCTTCTGAGCAACATTTCTTAGAGGTGCAGGGGAAGGGACATTTTCATATTAAAGCGAGGGCGCAGAAAGAGCTGAGGTGGCTTCCTTGTTCATAATATTGGGAAATGTCACTGTTGAACTGTAGCCTAATAGCCTTTCGTGGGCAGGAAAATGGCCAGATTGAGCATTATGTGCGTTAACAAATGAGGAAGTTTCGCATGTGAGAGGAAACACCAGGCTTCTCTCATCCTGGGCCACGTGCTTCGTTATGGTAAATGTGTGTCACTGGGAATTCTCGGCTGGTCCCAAGCAAGTTCAAAAGGCTGTTTTGTGAGAAACAGGCAAGGGAAAGGGGTTCTTACAGACGTTTCCTGAAACTTGAGTCATAGGCTGTGAAGTCCAGCAAGTGGATAGAGAGCGGCGTCATCTTTTAACAGTTGGAATTGGTGCGGTTCAAAGCAGATAGGAGTGAAACAGGACACAAAAGCCTATTGGGAGGCACGGTTAAAGAGAGCGAGAGTTGTAAAAGCTTAAAAGGGATGCAAAAGTTAAGTTTCCAGAAAGGGAGGTCAAGCAAGAACAGTTGCTGGAGCACTACACGAGGGATGGTTCTGTTGGGCCACATCCTGGACGGGTCAGCCCAGGTCCCCTTGTCTTGTCCCACTCTGTCTTCAGCATTCAGCTTAGCCACCTGTCCAGTCACCTTTCCATGAATCTCCCCGAAAGAGCACAAGGTATAGAGGCCTCCTGGACACCGAAGAGCAGAGTTCATTCATCACTTCCAGCCTTAGTGTCACTGTTTAGATAAGGATGCGCAGTGGGGCTTACTCTACTCAGGACACTGTAAGTGGGAGAGAGACCAGCCCGCCCAACACCTCCCCAGTTCCATCGTTGTTTCCAAGGCACAGCTTTTTGGATGGTGCTCCTGAGTCCACCCTGCGGCTACATTCTTCCCGACACAAACCCTCCCTGCGTAAATCTAGGCACAGTAAAAATCAGCTTCTCGCAAGTGAAGAAAACCCACGGAGCTAGCATCCTGATGTGCTGCCAGCAGCCCCTCGCCATTAGTCAGGAGACTCTTTGAACCCACTTACTTAAGTCTTTTGCTCTTCACCAGAACATGAACATGGTTCATCCCGGTGAACTTTGGCCAAGTTCTGCTCCCCAAGTACTTGCTGGGAGGGGGGACGCTAAAGGGAAGAAATAAACAAGGGGAGGAAAGGAGACCTCCAACTTCTCCCCAGGCCTGCTTCATCCTTCCCTTTCCATTGTTCTCCTGAAGGTTGTATAAATCCTGTTCTTGGTTAGACGTCTCCTCATTAACAGTGTTATATACATATAAATATATATATAAAATATATTCCTTTTTCCAGCCCTGTAGACATGAACTGATCTTCCTTGATAATACAAACACATGGCCACTTTTTGGTTTGTTTGTTTTGTTGTTCAAGTTACTTTATTTTTGTTTATTGGGTGGATATTTTTTCCCTGAATACTAGCTCTGTGAAGGAAAGTAAAAAGCGCAATGTGTGTAAAAAAAAAAAAAAATATTAAACTTAAAATAAAAAAAAGCCTTTTTTTTTCCTTTTTAAATGTATTTAAATTCTGGTTCTCTCTTCTGTTACTTTACACGTATGAATGCTCTGCTCTTCTGTGATCTTAAAACAAAATGAAATAAACGTGAAAAGGAGATGTGTCTTCGTTGACCTGAATCCACGTGAACTTGTGGTTGGCTGCCCTGTTTCTTGAAGGCTTTAGTGAATAGCTCAGGAAATGAAGCCAAAGAGAGCAAACATCAGGCAAGAGAGCAGTAGACAAAATACTGGAAAATCGCTGCAAGGCTTTCTGACAATGCTTCCTCTGCAGAAGTGAATGTGCTATTTACCATAATTGTCTTCCCTTAAGAAAAAACAAAGAGAGTCTCTGATATTTTGTTTCCCTCTGCCTTCCTTTAGAGATTATATATCTGTGTTTTTTTTTTTTTTTTTTTTTGTGTGTGTGTGTGTGTGTGTGTGTGTGTGTGTGTGTGTATGTATGTATATGAGCAAATTACCTTGTGGGAAGCTGAAAAGGGGGGGGTCATTGAACAGCTCTGGAAAGAGAATTTGAGTTAGCTTTGGGGTATAACCTTGAAAGAACATCATGTTCTCTCTTTAGCATCTCCATTTCCAACTGTCTTTAAAAGCTAGTTTGAATGAGGTCCTAAGTTACCTCCCTATGTAGCCTATTACTTCTACCTGTGAAACTATAGTGTACATTCCAACCTTGCTTAACGTTAGAGTCAAAAAATAGTCCCAGACTCTTCACAAAATCCTTGCAGCATTACTCAGGCCAGGGAGAAACTAGCAAGAGAAAAAGAAGAACTAAGCAGTTCACGGTTGAAAAAACTGTGGGTGGGTCATTAATTGTTTATCAAAAATTGCCAAGAGGGTCCATAGTTTATTCTTAGGAGTCAAAGCAGGCCTGGAACATAGTCAAGAGAACTGATCCTAACTCGATCCTTCACAGGGGAGTGAAGGAGTGAGCCCTTATGCTTAGCTCCCATAAAATGAAAAGGAGCTCAGAAAACAAAAGCAAAAACCAAGACACATTTCCTTATGCCCTCTGGTTCAAGAAGGCAGAAGAGGCCCAGTCTCTACATTGTTTAACTAAGAAGGAGCCCCCCCCCCCCATCAGTGGAATAGGGAAGAGGCATAGGGGTCAAGAGAGAGGGAGGGTGGGACCAGGAGGAGATGAGGGAGTGGGTTACAGTTGGGATGAAAGTGAATAAATTGTAATAAATAATAATCATTAAAAAATAAAAAAAAATAAAGTAAAAAAAAAATCAAAGAATACCCTTCTACCATGTGCTTATCAAACTCAGGGTTGAAGACTCAGAACTGAAACACGGATGCCTCCGTTCACATAGCAGCTGTAAGTTTGGGATGAAATGATAACCTTTACTTGTGCCCACTTGACTACAGCACGGTGGAAGCTGCGTGGTCCTGGCAGCATCTTCAGGCTCAGAAGTATGCAGGACTCAGGGAACCCTTAGCTCAGGTTTCTATTACTGCAAAAGCGTACGCACAGACCCAGTCAATGAGAAGATCTGGGGAGTCCTGCATATGAAGTCCTGCATATTGACCCTATTCATAGAGCGAGGAGCCCTTACTCTCCCAGCACACGAACATATTCTTGGCCAGTGAAAACCACCTGAGTCTGTATGTCCAAAATGTACTAAGTGTTGATCCCTTTGAGAAATCATTACATAGGTGTGTTCATTGCATAGGCATGGTAGATTGCTCACTGGACAGATGCTAGAACCTCCAACTCCTTTCTGTGGTCCAGGAGTCAGGCTGACATTGTGACCTAAAACACTACCGGCCTAATTCCCACTCTTCTAGACCTGGGTTTCTAGAATCGCCATGCTCCAGATGAGCTACTCATTAAAGCAAACCATCAGGTGTTATTCCAAATGATCCAACATCTGAAACAAAAAACAGAATGACTGCCAATTGGAAGATCCTAAGGAATCCAGGAACTGACGACAGAGTCTGGCCAAACTTTTTTTTTTTTTTTTTTACTTTATTTTGCCACTTTTATATTTTTTAAAAAATCCTTTGGAGTTTTAAATTTTTCTCAGATTATCTGAGGTTTAATTTCCTTTAATCCACAGACACTTTGGGTTTGAAAGAAAACACATCCTTGAGTCTTTGTGATCTCTATAGGTTCAGAAAAGTATTTCCACTGTCTTTACATCCCCCCCATTTTAAAGGATGTATGAGAGCTGTGGGTTAGGTAGGTCTGTGAATCTGATCTACAAAGGGCTTGATCTTCCTCACCTTTGTGATCCTCTCCCACTTAACATGGTGCTAAATCCATAGTTTAGGCTTAGCAAACAGTTGTCAAAATTCAGTTAAATATATTTCAATTTCTCCAGCAAAGATGGTACCCACATAATTTGTTTTTTATGAGTCACTGTCCCATTGTAGCTAGAGGAGATTTCTGAATCCACGCCTATGAAACAAAAGGTAGACGCTTCCCTCGCATACAGAAGACATGGAAAACAGTGAGCTAATTCCCACTCAATGTGAGCAGCTCAAGACCTTCTCTCCACTTTGATTCTTAAATTATTTTCCTTTGCATTTAAACTACTCAAAACTTTGTCCTGATCAAAAGATATGAAAATGATGAAGGTCTCAGAGCCAGGAAATTTTGTCATGGAACACACACTGGGAGAAGTCAGCTCACCCAAGCCACTCTCACAGATCCAAACATTCTCCAGAAGCCACTGCTGACTAGTTCTTGAGTTCCAAAATCTTGACATCTATCTATCTATCTATCTATCTATCTATCTATCTATCTATCTATCTATCTATCTATATTCTATTTTTCTCTAAGGCAAAGTAATATTTTAACTAGTTTCTCTCTCCTTTGTATTATTCTGCATCTTTTCTCCTTACCATTGCCTATCTCCCATGCCCAAATAAGTAAGAAACTCACTGACCATTTGGTAAAAACAAACAAATGAACAACAAAAACAAAACCTCTGCATTTCTGTCTAACCTGAAGAAGACAATTCTATGACCATGCCCAAACACCAGAAGTAATCTAGAAATTTGAGAATGGAGAAAATGTTAAATGGTGAGAACCTGAGGTCACAGACCTGAGTAGCTCCTGTGTGAGTCATATGATGCTTGCTCTCAGGCCAGCACAGTATAGTCTCAGCCACCACAACAATGGATTCTTAGAGATGTTTACTGTCGCCAGTTAGTCTCTCCATCCTTGGACCATGAACAGGCCTCTCTGTTCTCATTATCTTTTGGCTTTTAGACAATTAACACAGCCCATGCTATGGAGATTTATTTTTAATTCTCAATAATAGAGGGGAAAAAAACATCCTTAGGGTCTATCCTACATCAGGAGACTGTAGGGACTTTGGGTAATACTTGAGCAAAGTCTTAAATGAAAGAAAGAAAACAAACAAAAATAAAAATCTCATAATCAAGAAGACTAAAATTCCTTCCAGATGGAAACATAGCCTTCATGCAAAATAGTTTGGTCATGCACTTGAAATGGTCCCTGATAAGCCTACTCTGTCAGTACAGACCTTGACAAATGAAGGCAGGAGGATCAGGAGTTTGATGAGGGCAGCCTAGGCTAAATAATACCATATCCCAGAAAGAAAGGAAGAAAGAAAGAGAGAGAGAGAGAGAGAGAGAGAGAGAGAGAGAGAGAAAGAAAGAAAGAAAGAAAGAAAGAAAGAAAGAAAGAAAGAAAGAAAGAAAGAAGTAAGGAAGGAAAGAAGGAAAAAAGAAAGTGAAGGAGGGAGAGAAAGAGAAAAGAAGGAATAGAGAGGAAGAAAAAGTGCCCAATAATTCTGAATTTATTCCCCCTCTCGCCACTTTACCTTTCCTCAGACCCAGCTAGCTCCAGTGTTGCCAGGGGACTATGAATCCGGCCAGGTGAGTGAGGAGGATTTCCATCACTCTTGTCAAGTACCCACAATTCTATAACTTTCAGAATGTGTCCTGCGTGCAGTGAGTGATACAACCTAGAAAGATACTGAAGTCTTGTGGTACATCAACCCTGTTTTGCATATTCCATTTTCCAGAGGCAGCTCAAGCCTACACCAGCTTCTTATTTCAGCAGATGAAGCTTTCGTATTCCATGTAATAGCTGGCGTCTTGGTGTTTTCCTCCTTAATGGCAATTTATGATAGAATAATGGCACTATCAAGTAGCTGAACATCCAAGATCCCAATTAACCAATTCTGCCTCACACCCTGAATGCACCGAAGATGAGAACAAAGGAAACCAGGTCTCTAAACACAGTTCATGTTAATGACCAGGCCTGTACACTGTGAAGAGTTGTCAGCTTTCTGATTTGAAGCACTACACAGAAAACATGTTCCTCACCTTCTCAAAGACCTTTGGAAAATATGAGGTAATGAAGCAGAGGTTAAAATAAAAAAAAAAAATCCTGGTGGTTACAGCCACAGTTTCCATTAACATTTTAAATGGTTATTTTTAATGGTACATTTAACTAAAGCTAACTTATCCATGGGAAAAGAATGTGGCCATTAAGATCGGCATCTGTTGAACAAACTGAGGTTCCACATTCAGTGGTGCATGATTTTATAACAGCAAGAATATTACATGCTAACAGCAGACTCATTAGCATTAATTGCTGCATTTAGTCCCACTTAAAACCTTCTGTATCTATAACATTTGCTAAACGCATCATCCATTTTGGGAAAAAAGAGCTACCCTACAATGTTCTCCCATGAGTTACAATGGGACTAAACCCAGGCAGGCATGTGGGTGTAGGGATGAGGACAGCATAATGCTGATAACTATCCACTGACAATCCGACGATGTGTGGAAACTCTAGCTTGTGGGAAACGAGACTTCAGAAGGTGCAGCAGTGGGGCTGGAGAGATGGCTCAGAGGTTAAGAGCACCAGCTGCTCTTCCAGAGGTCCCGATTTCAATTCCCAGCAGCCACATGGTGGCTCACAACCATCTATACTGGCATCTGATGCCCTCTTCTGATTTGCATATGTATATGCAGATAGAGCACTCATACACAAAAAAATAAATACATATTTTTTTTTAAAAAAAGGTGCAGTAGTGAGTGGGGCTTTCAGTGGGGGTTGTGGAAAAAGTCTTGAGAGATCTGACTACAAAGAGGCCAAGCACTATAATGTCAACCATTTGTTCACTCATCTCCAAATCTCCAGGTAAGGGACACC